TCAGGTATGAAAATTCTGGCATAATGGATATGTCCTGTTTCTTTAATGGTTAGACATTTGATTCAAAGTTGGAGTCCCTTGCCAATTTTATATATCTCTTTGCTTTTAACCTGACAGAAGTTATCGACAGATGAACAAGAAAAGATAGAAATGGAAATGGGAATGGTGAGATTAACCATTTCCATACAGAAAACATTTGAAATTCATTGACTTAGTTTTACTGTTAGTTGAAATTTATAAAATCTTTTTACTTAAAACAATTTTTCAGAAAACTAGACTTCAGAAGTTCACTCTTCATAGCTCAAATACTAATTGGCATTTCCATTTAAAATTTTTGTTTTTGATAGTGTGAAAAGTTAACAGTTTGATTACATCTTTAGTTTCTCTCCCAGTCAGTGATGGCTCTAGGTTTTCTGGCTCCTGAGCAAACCAAACTGACCTTACAAGGATAATTTTTTTTTAATTTTCACAAGGAGAAAAATTGAATGTGTAGTATAACAAGTTTATTATAATATACAACTTAATAGAAGTTAAAGAAAACATTATTTTTTTTCTTGCCTTTAGATCTGTAAATCTTTTGATGGGACTTTCTATACCTATCTTCTTTACAAGTTCCTTTTCTATTGACAAAAAAGCGAAAGAATTTAATCTTTCTTGAGTCATGGTATATATTTTTATAATCTTTAGTTCTGGAAGATACAAAACATATGACAAGGTGGCATGATGGCTCCCTCAGGCTTTATAGCACCCAAATTGCTAGTACCTTGAGCCAGCCCTGCTTCCAGTTATATGTGCTACCAACTTTTGTTGTTGTTGCTGGTGTTGGAAGTGTTCTAGTGATGTGGTTTTGTTATTTGGTAATGCTGTTTGGGATTTTGCAGCAAGTCTATAGTATCTAATTCTATAGTATCACTCGCTCAACTTTCTGAGCGAGTGTTCGGTTCAACTCTCTGTCTCCGGACGGAGAGGAACCCGAAGGAGGCTATGCCGAAGGGTGGAGTCTCCTTCAGGGGGGTTAAACCGGCCCTGAACCCGCTTAGGCGGGTTCAAATGGGCATATTTTTGGGCCGAGCCCACGGGCTTGGGTAAGCCCACAATAAACAACCGACCTTGTGTCACATGTTGCCCTGGTGGGAGGGAGACTAAATATAGTCTATAGTATCTAATGAAGGATTGTTTTCTTTAAGATCAATTAATTTGAAGACATTTTTAATTACTGATCTGATAAAACAGTTTTCTTTTATTCCTCATACTAAACAGAGTCAAAAATTATTCATGTATTTTAAGTTTTAATTAATAGTTCAAGCAAATTATATATATGAAAAGTATTTATTCATCAAAATATATCTCATCATATTCTGTTATCTGTTGCCATGATGGTGCCAGAGGCATAATTCCATAATTCTATTTTCAACCACAACCACATTGTTGAACCTTTGTCTGCACAGGAAATGAGCCATGGCTCAGAAAAGATGGTAATCTGATGGTGCAAGGCCTGCACTGTTGGCAAGTTAAAGCAGCACTTTCAACTCCACAAGTTCTTCAAGATTTCACTTGGTTACAATTGGCAGTGTGTGCTGTGTCATTGTCATGCTGTAGGAATGTTTGTCTTTGATTGACCAATATTGGGTAGTGGGCTTTCAAAGCATCATATACTTGCTGCAGATGTTGAGCATAAAGATCAGTGTTCACAGCATGACCATCTGAAGCAAGCTCAAAGAGACTACCCCTCCAAAATTCCACCAAATGCACATGACCTTCTGTTCAAACCATCCATGTTTGACCATGTTCTGAAGCCTGGTCCAAACAATGGCACTGATTTCTTTTTTTAGGATTGCAAAAATAGATCCATTTTTCTTCCCCAGTTACAATATAACAACAAAAATGAGCATCTTGAGGATTTGCCAATAGTTGTTTGCAAATGTTCACACATCATTGAGACTGATCAGTTTGTGAGGAACTTCTCAACAGTTCATGTTCACAAGGCTGAGCTTATGGAGGTGTCAAATGATGGTGCTTTGTAAAGGACCAAATTCTGCTGACAATGTATATGTTGTATCCTTAAAGAAGGTTACAAACAGACAAAGGTGGCACTCAAGTGGAAAGAACAGAAACATGGGTGTAGATGAAAGAGAGATTTATTTTAAAAGTACTGAAAGACAGGGAATCAGTTACAAGGCTAGTTATTTCTGAAGCAAGTCTGCCAGGTATATCCTGTGCACACTATATATATCTACTGTTATAGTCAGTCCACAATAGGCAATAGGGAGAGTGGGACATTACATTACAATACCTCCCTCTGAGCTAATTTTCCCATGAAATTTTGCTCAATACCCCTCCTTCTGTTTGACATTTTTCCTCTTCCTAGTACTTTTCCATCTCACCAGTATAAATGCTTTTACTTGGCTGTTGTTCAGCCATTACAAGCAAGGTCTCATCTTCCACAACAGAAGGTCTCTCTGACCTTGATTTGTCTTTGTGTCACCTTTCTTGAAACATCTGAACCAGTTTTGTGCTACATGTATGTTGACAATTTCTGGGACTTTCACATAATTCATTTCTCTTGCCGCTGCACTTATATTTGGTCCTTTTTTCCACAAGTAGTGTAAAATGACTCTAACTGCAATGTTTTCATCACATTATCAAAACTGTAAAATAAAAAGTAAACTATTAATGTTTATATGTCATATAGGAAAATAAAGAATAAACAATTCAGCAACAATTGAATGACAAGTTATATCAAATTAATGATATAACATGGAGAAAAAAGTTGCCAAAAATCATCAGTGAAAATCATAAAGAACTTTTTACTTAACCTGGTATATGAGTTGCTACCTTAAGAATTCATACAACACTATGTAATATGGACTAGTTTTTGAGATATTTGAGAACCCGTTTTGCTCATACCAGGTTGGTATGGCATTTCTTATATAATCTTTCTTTAGTATCTGTCTATATTTCTGAGATGAGTATTATGTACACAGATGTCCTCAAGGACACATGGCACAGTGGATAAAGGTGTTGGTTAGATCCAGTGACAGGACCCAAAGAGTGTGAGTTCAACACCGGGTTAAGGTAGTGTAGAACTTGAAGAGAGGAATTAACAGGATATAACTGACAACTGACATCCATTAAACATGGCACATGGAACTAGAACAGTCTACCCCAGTGAGCGAAATAAAGGGTTGTTTGACATTCCAATCACCTGAAGAAGGCCGGAGTGTACAACAGCCGAAATGTTGTAATAAATATGGTGACAGTGATGACGACAATAGTTTGAATAATGTACATAATCTTTCTTTAACTGGTTTAATTCCACTCAGCCAGTTCTCACTTGCTAGCACTGAAAAAGTTCAAAAGTGTTAATGTTGCTAGCCTCTCACTATATTTTTGGGGTCACATTTTCCTTCCTCTGTTAACGAGATATTTAAATTATTGTACTTGCTTGATTTTGGTGTCTCTAATCTGTAGTTTGCATCTTGGTTAGCTCTTATTTTCCTTTACTACCTGTAAGAGTTCTTGTAGTTTAATTTCCATGTCCACTATCAATACTGCATCATCCGCATATGTTGTTAAGAGTACATCTGCCTATAATGAATCTCGGTAGGAGTTCTAATTCTCTCAGGGTCACTCAGGTCCAGTATTTTAAAAAGTCTAAGTAAGAATATAAAGAATTTTATCTCATTGTTTCTTTCTTTCTATTTTCATTCATTTCTTTTTGCCTTTCCTTTTTCTTTCTTTCATTTTTCTATATTCCTTTGGTTTTTTGTTCATTGTTTTTTTTCATTCCTCTTTCTTTCATGTTTTCTTTCTTCTTTCCATTCTTTTTTAATTCTCTATTTCTTCTTCCATTCCTTTATAATTCATTTCCTACTTCTTTCCTTCTTAAATTTTATATTCTTTTTTTTTCATCATTTCTTTGCACATTCTTTTTTGCTTATTCATCCGTTCTCCCTTCATTTCTCTTTCATTATTTATTTCATTAGTTCTTTCTGCTTTCCATTTTTTATATTTGAGAAGATATTCAGTATCCCTTTTCATCTGTTATTTTCATTCATTTCCTCTTTTTAACTTCTTTATTCATTTCATTTTCAAATACTGCAGTTTGCGTTATCATCTTTATTACTTTATTTTTTTCATTTTTGATTTCTCTTTTTTTTTCTTTCTGTTTATCTTGTTTTCATTTTCTTTTTAATGGTTACTTTCCTCATTTCTTCTTTTTAGCTTTTTTCTTTTTTCATTCTTTCTTTGTAGCATCTTTTCTCTTTCTTTTTGTTCTAATTATATCCTTTTATTCTTTTTCTTTTTAGTCTTTTCTTTCCCATTTTTTCTTTCTTTCTATTTAATTTCATGCACCTTTCTTCCATTTTGTTACCCACTCTTGTTTCTTTTTTCCTTTCTAATTTTCTTTCTTTCTTTCTTTCTTTCTTTCTTTCTTTCTTTCTTAACAATTTTTTCTCAGACCTCTTTTTTTCTGATTCCTCATTTTTTATTCAATTCTTTATTTTTCTTTTGCCTTTTACTCCCATGTTCTTTCTTTCACCCTCTATTTCTTTACCAGTTTTATTCTTGATTGCAGTCCTTCAGATTTTTTCTTAGGTTTTCCAACATTCCTCTATTTCTTTCCTTGTTTCTTGAAAAGAGTGAAAAATCCTCTTTCCATCCATCCATCAACGAAACTTGTCATGACCTCCTCATGTCACCCACTCCCTACTTCAAGTGCATCACTTCTTAGCCAAACCCCAACTTCCATCTGCCAGTCCTCATCCCTGACCTGTCACAATCTTCTTTCTTTTAGCCTTGTCACCTTGTCAATTAAGAGAAGCCAGCTTTTAACTCAAGTGCAAGGGAGTGAGAGATAAAAAAATAAAGAAATAAAAAAAGCAAGATACAAAGAGAGGAAGAGATGGAGCAGTACAAAGACATTGCAGGAAAGAGAAAGATGTATCAGGAAAAAGGGAGGAATATAGTGAGAAAGAAAAAAAGAGAGAGATAGAAACACAGAGGAAAAGAGAAATAGAGTTATAGAGAGATAAATATAGTAGAAGAGAAAAAAGGGGTAGGGAAGGAAAGAGAAAGGAGGAGACTGAGTAGGAGAGAGTAAGAGAGTGACATAGAAGGAGATAGATATAGTAGATAAGAAAGAGAGGTATAGGGTGTAAGAGACAGTGAGTTATAGTAGGAAAGAGAAAGAAGTATCTGGAGAAAGAGACAAATATAGTGAGACAGAAAAAGAGAGGGAGATTTAGAGAGGAAGGGAAAGAAAGAGAAATGTACAGGAAGAGAGGTGTTGGTAGAGATAAAATGAGAGAGCCATTACAAGAGAGAAAGAGGGGGACTTAACAGAAGAGAGAAAGAGAGAGGAATAGAAAGAGAGGTAGATTGATATAGAAAGAGATATAGTGGTTGAGAGAAAGGGAGTGATAGAGTAATAGAGACATAAAGAAAGAGAGAGAGGAGAGAGGCACAGAATAAGAGAGAAAGAGTAAGAGAAGAAAATAAAGCCATCAAAATAGATTTTAAGCGTTTTATCCTGTTGGTTCTTCTCGTCTTACCATTTTATCCCTTTCCAGTCATTTTGTATTTTGGCTTCAATGCAATGTGGAAGTGACCAGGTTGGAGGATCACAAAAGAATGAGAGATAAAAGTTAAAATAAAAAGATAAAAGGAAGAGTGGGGGGGGGGAAACAAATAAAACTAAAATACATAAAATAACAAATTGGGAAGTAAAGAAAAAGAATTTTTTTTTTTCTTGTTAAAGATTTTCTTCTTAAAGTGAAACTTGACATATAAAGGCAGATGACCCTAATTTTCAACAGTAATTGCAGTTCTTTGAATTAATTCTCTCCTCTCTCTTTTTACTTCCTTCCAAATCATTTATTTTATTTTTCATCCAACTTGTTTTTGTTTTTTCTTATAACTGTCCTTCTTCATTCTTTTCTGTCTTCTGTCTTCTACCTTCTTACCTTTTTTCCTTCTTTCTTTTTGCTTTTTTCTGTCTTCTCTCCTTCCTTCTTACCTTTTCTCTTTCCTTCTTACCTTTTTTATGTTACTTTCCTTTCTTTTTGCTATTACCTTTCTGTCTTCTCTAATTCCTTCCTTCTTACCTTTTCTCTTTCCTTCTTACCTTTTTTATGTTACTTTCCTTTCTTTTTGCTATTACCTTTCTGTCTTCTCTAATTCCTAATTTCTTCCTTTTTCACCTTTCTGATCTTTCTTATTTTCTCTATTTTTCATTCTGTCAATTTCACCAATTCCTTCTTAACTTGTTTTTCATTTGCTTCTCTCTTTTCTGTTCCTGTTTTCCTTTTTCACTTTGACAATTTCTTTCTAACGTCTTTCTTTCTTTTTTTCATTTAGATAATAACTACAACTTCTCTCTTTCTTTCTTCATTCTCACCTTTTTGTTCCTTTTCTTAATTTTACACTTTCACAATTTTGTCAATTTTTTCTTTCTTGCTTTTCTTTTTTGCAAGTTCTCCAATTTTCTTCCTTATATTTTACTTTCTTTTTTCCCCTCCCCTTTTCTATTTTTTGTTCTTACTTTCTTTTTTCACTTTAACAGTTTCTTTAATTCCTTCCTAACTTCTTTCTTTCTTATTTTCATTTGTAACAATTTCTCCAATTCTTTCCTAACTTCTTTCATTTTTCTTCCTCTTTTTTACCTTTTGATTTTTCATTTTTATTACTTTGAAAATGGGTCTATTTTATTCTATCAGATTATCATTTATTTTCCACTTTCTTGACTTCCTTTGAGATCTCTTTTTTCTTTACTTCTTTTTCTTCACATTTTCATTCTCTTATTTTTCCTTCAATGCTTACTCTTTTTTGCCTTTCTTTTCATCTATTCTACTTTTTATATTTACAAGGAAAAACAGATATCTTTTTTCCTTGTATTTTCTTTTTTTATTTATTTTTCTTTACGTTCCTCTCTTGCTATCATTCCTTTTTTTTCCTTCCTTTCACTTCCTTTCTTTTCTTTTCTTTCACTCCTCCCAAAGAGCTGTTTGCCTTCTTTTTCCTCCTATTTCCCTCTTGTCTACCTTACTTCTTCTTCTCCTCTCACTCTCTCTATCTCTCTGTCAAGAAATTTCAATTTACTTAAAATCTTACCCAGCCAATTGAATAGCGTTAATATTTCCTAAGATATTAACCTCAACATTGTTCGAGAAGTGGTTTCAACAGCAAGATTTACAAAATCAGTTGAAACCACAAAAAATAGAATATAATCAAAATAAAATAAATATACCATCAAAGAATTTTAGTAAAAGATTAAGAAGGAAAATCATTCAAAAGAAAATAAAGTTGTAAAAAAACAAAAAAAACTGTAAAAATGTCGAATTAGTTGATACTTGACTGTCACTTACCTTAAACCACGACTGAAAGGAAATTTTGCTTTTTCTTCAAGACTTTTTTCTTTTCAATATTTTTCTGTCAGGATTTATTCACACATTTTCCTTCCTTACAATATTTCCTTTTTTTTTTTTCCCAGAGCTTTAAAAATTTGTCAACAAAATATCTTCAGGCTTTTAAAGCAGGGTGAATTTTCCTTAGCCTTAATTTCATCTTGATTTTTGGTTCCTTATTTTTTTTAAATTAATTCTTTCAATGTACTTTCTGGAAATCTTTGAATGCTGTTGAGACCAGTTCTATTCTTTTAAGCTGATGCCAAAAATTTTACAACTGCAGCTTTTAAAAGAGTATATTTATGACATGCTTTCTTTTGACAGTTTTTAAATTTCAAATGCAATATCTTTTTTTAAAGGTTTTTCATTGGCTGTCTTTTTACTTCTTGGTGTTTTCAGATGTTCAAGGAGAGACAACATATTAAATAGGTGACAGGCATTGAAAAACATCAAATAAAACAGTTTAAATGGGTTGTTTGTAAATACACTGAAATAAAAAAAAATGTATTAATTCACATACATTTTTTGTTCAAGTCCATCTTAGATGAGTGGTACCACTTGGGAACATTGGGTACTCTAAGTGAACTTCTACAATCCCAAATATATTTTGGCTTTAAATAATCCACAAAGAGTTGATAAGCTATAAAAAAAAACCCAAATAACTCAACAATCACAGTCATACTGATGACAGTTTTTCAACTCATAGAATAAGCGAGAATTTTTATTTTTGTAACAAATAATCAGCTTGTGTAGAAAATTATTAGAAAAATAATAAGCTTGTTACACGAAATAACCACAGTGTCGTATTTTGGCTGTATTTAGTACACACTAGTTGTATCTGATACACAAGAATACTTAGTTGTTTATTTTGGTAAATAAAATTAAAAATTAATTTTATTCATGCAATCACAGTGTGCACTACTGCCAAGCCTAATTGGGGGCCCAGGGGAGTGCTTTGTGATCCTCACAATCTTATCAACATTTGCATTTTTTCTACTGACACTTATATAGATTACAAATTAAACTAACTATTAAACGATTAAAAATTTTCACAGATTTTAACATCATTCGGTGGGGGTAGTGGGGGGGCTTTTTTTCATGAATTTGTTTTGTTCATGCTGAGTCTCAAAAAAAAAACTATATAAAATTCACTATTTTTTTATCCATATTGTTGAATCTGTTAAATTATTCAACTTTTTAACAAGAAATATTTCAATTGCTGTTAAAAATTGCTGGATGTAATTCATCGTCATACACAGGATGGATGGGTGGGTGTGAATGTAAAAATCTCATGCCCACAAAAACTCAATTTTAAATGATTGATAGAAAGCCATGCATTAAATAGAATTATGTTCTGAAGTAGAAAATTATATTTTAAATCTTACATTTGGTATATAAATAAAAAGTAATAAAATAATATGCAAGTAAGTATTTTATTGAGAAAAGGAAGTAAAGTATATTACTCCCACTGACCTTAATCTGTGTCTATTCTATACCTTCTAACTTGCTGCTTGTAGGCATTAAACAGCACCTCTTGTCAGTGTTCAGCTGTAATCTGCAAGCATTGATGGACTCCATTTGACTTGATAATGTTCTTCAGTAGGTGCAATATCTTAGTCAAATCCCTCACTGTGCTTGTCACTTACTGCTTCTCAATGCAGTGAAAAGAAATCCAGATGTGAGTTCAAAAAATTAATTTTGACTGACATGTTAGATCCCATGCATTTGTAAGCTTTGATGATGCATTCAACCAATTCCTTGCAGTTGTCTGTGTCAAAATTTGGGTCATATGACATGATTGATGACGAGAAATTTCATCCCCATTGAACTCATTTTGTTTTTCATTTTGTTTTGTTTTTTTGTTTTTTTAATTATTTCACCCCAAGCAAGACAATAAAGCCACTAAGACACAAGACTGTGAGAGAATGTGAGAAAAAGAAAACATTATTAAGAAGAGAGAACAATATAAGTGCAGGAATTAAGAAGACAGAAGATTTACATTGCATTTAAATTTTTGAAGATCAAAGTTGATTGGAAAGCAAGAAGATGGAAGAGAATTGCACCACTTATGGTTACATCTCACTATTTCAACTATAACATAATGAGACATTGCAGTCAATCAAGTACTGTGCTTAAATTCATAAAGTCTTGTTACCAAAGATGAAAACTCATCAGAACAGTTACCAAATTATATATATATATATATATATATATATATATATATATATATATATATATATATAAGCACGGTTAAGCTACATTACAGCAGTCTGTCTTCTTGAAAGCCATTCATCTTTTTCCTTTCCTCAATCTTCTCTATTCTCATTCTTCTCCTTCGCTTTCACTCCCTGTCACCCTGTGTACTAGTGGCATTCCCGTCTTGCTTGTGGAGAAATGATTAAAAACAATAAAATTGGAAAATAACTGAAGCCAAGATGCAAGGTCAGGACCAATATCATTGCAGATTCTTCTTTATTTTTTGTTTTTTTTTAGAATCTCTAAAGGCATCAGACCAGATGTGACAGTAATATTCAATGCATAGAAGAATGGTAGACTTATAAATGTGTAAGATAGATTGTGCCAAGAAAAACTGTCTAGCATAACACAGTGAATCAACTTTCCTAACAGCAAACCTAACAATTGATTCACTATAATCTTTCCACTTCATATCAGCAGAAAATGTTAGCCCAAGAAGGTACAAGGAGTTACTATCCTGATAAGATTCTGATTCAACTGGAATGAGCAGTCCTTCTCCATGGGATACTGGTCGAATAGCTGGTGGAATGTTTGGATACACCACAGTATGTTCTTACTTCTTTGAGAAACATTTCTCAAATGGAGGAATTGTCTTGAAGTAACAGTCATTGCTATGATCTGATGGTTCTTTCAAAGTCATTGTCAACAAAAATGGTATACATTTCATTTTCGAGTTCAACCACCTGCAAAGATTCCTTGCAGCATGAATTGATGTGTTCTGAAGTGTTTCTAGCTTTGCACACTTCTTATTGAGTCATTCATCTGCTTGCTTGCATTTCTTTCTGTGAGTGACATCATATGTTGATAGCACCAGAAGATGAATATAGTATTAAATATTTTACACACATCTTAAATTTTTATACACATTTTAAAGACATTTTAAATTGTCATTCATGTGGGAATATATATTTATCGAATGTTGTTTCTTTTGTATCATAATAGCCTCAAGTAGTTTAAGTTTTGATTTACAGGAAAATGTTAGAATAATATTTTGGTATTATCTGCTAATGTTTGTCATATGTTAATAGTCGAATTTTGGTTTTTTGTGATTTGATGATCAATTTATACCTACATACATATATATATATATAAACACACAATGAAAAAAATCAACCTTGTACCAATGAAAAGTGCAAATGAGAAATATAAACATATATAAATTTGATGATACACCTTGATGAGTGAACGTAGTGATTTCTAGAGGGTTCATTTACAAAACACTGGAGTCAGGATGCTGAAGATAACATCATTCAGTTAAGTGACAAGGATGCTGAAAGTAACATTATTCAGCTAAATGAGAAATTTATATTAATTCTAATTCTATATATATATATATATTCCCACCACAGAGAAACTTCTCTGCTTGCCATCAGCATGACTGATGCTTGACTCCTGGAGAGCAACACATTGCACCTTCTTGGTCTTATGTTTTCGTATGACTTTAATTGGAACAACTACTTTGAATCAATAGCTGCATCTACTGCAAGGAATGTTGGTTATCTGTCTTGCCAGAAGGTTTTTCTCATCAGAATCCATCTTTTACATTTAAAAATTTACCATTCATCTATGAATTGAATACTATTGCTATATCTGCTCTGGTACCCTGCTATTCATCCCAAGGTTCTTAACAAAATCTAAAGAAGCATTAGCAATTTAATCAATCCTGGCTTGGCATCTTGACTTCAGTCACTTTCTCATCGACATGATGTAACTTCTCACTGTCTTTTCTACAAATATTTTCATGGCTACTGCTCTGACAAGCTTTTTTCCATGCTGCCCCAAATACATGAATTTAAGTGTGCGACTAGATTAGCACCCTTTTACTGTTGAAATAGTTAAATGTAACTGCCACTTCTACTCCAACAGAAAATTCGCACTTCCTGCCTGTGGAACTTCCTTCCATTTACTTACTTCCCTGATAAATACAATCTTCAAAAATTGAAGTACAAGTTCAATTGCCATCTTCTGTTGTCTTGAACCCCTTTTATCCTTTTTCTCAATTTTCCCCTATACCCAGTCTTTTCTCTCGCATACATTCTTTGTAATTCCCTGTGCACAAGTAGCATTCCTGCCTTGCTTGGGGTGAAATGATAACTATATATATATATATATATATATATATGCTAGCAGCATGGCCTGGCATTGCCTGTGCTTGATTCAAAAATTGTACAACTCATACAGCAATCGCTATCACTTGACTTAAAATATTTTTGCCCTTCCTTGCCTTTAAAGGAGTGCCCTTTGCCGTGCTGATGTTGCTACATGCCTTACTTCTTGCCTACCTCACACTGCGAATTTTTTCTAAGCTCTATACTAAACATTAAATCTGTTACAAAAAAAGAACTAAACAAAATGAACACAAAACGATCAGCTTTAAAAAAGGACTCATAACTGGAAAAACCAAATGAAAAAAGAGCGTTAACAACAAATACTTTTCCACACCCAACCCAGTTCTGTGGAATCAGAATCAACGTTGAGTTTAAGCAAGTGAATGAGCCAATTGGAGTAAAGTGCTATGCAGATTTAAATTTTTCCCATTTGTGACGACTGCAGCTATCGATTTCTTTTGCATGCTAGCATGCTAGTTAATATTTGTGTCAGTCAGCTGTTGGCTCTCATGCTGGCCAATAGAATCTTCCTGCCTGTTCGTGGCAGCCAGCTATTGGCTCTCACTCTGGCCAGTACAAAATGGCCACAAACTACATGAAAACTGCCATAGAAGCATGAAAAAATCGATTATTTCCACGATTGATGGGAGTTGGGAAATACAAAGTCAGTCTTGACCTTTCTGCTAACTTGGAGCATGTGCATGTAAATTTTGGTGCAAATCCATTGAAA